ATATATAAGGATTAAATGCAAAAAGTAAAATTAAATATATAAATTTGTATTCTATTTTTTAATTTGCGCATAAACTTTCCAAAATTGTCATAAGTATTATAATATTACTTCATGTTATATACCTAAACTATCGTTTTATCTATTTATTTGATAAAAGAGGTATATTTTTACTTTGCAATCAGCTGATACTCTTTAATCAATGACCATCAATGAAGACGAATTATTCCCTTGCCTTCGGTGTGTTTCGCATCTATGACGTTTACATTGTTCATGCGAAATGTTATGTAACGTGCTCCGAGCGTGTTCCCTAATGTTAAGAATACAATAGAGAATAAAATATACACGCGAGCCCGTATAACGATAAAACAGCATTTTTTTCACATATAGCTGGCGCATGTCACTTGGCCGATTATGTTATCATCGTCTCTGAGTTCTCTCCACGTCGATAATACGTCACAGTTGTTGGTTTAGACATGACCGAAGCTTTTCGTGGCAGTGAAAACGTTCGTGTAATATGGAGATTAACCATATACGTTCCTCGTGGTACGTGACAATTGAATACACCATCGCATCGCATGGTTTATAATCTTAATCGGTTCTTTTCAAAGTCAGTAGGTCAGTCAGTCAAATATTATAATTATGGGTCACGTTCAGTTAGATGTGATAAAAGGCGTTTGAGTTTGGTCGAAATCTTCGAATTTGTCTGTTTCATTCTGAATTGCTGATATCTGTAGAAAAGCTTTGCAAAATATTATACCATTGTATTGCAAAATTTATAACTACTGCTTGAAATTGTGCAAACATATGTCATATGTGCAAAGTTTCTCTGAGTATTGATTATTAAATTCACTTTTCTAGTGAATTCTTTTTTATATACGATAGATGAAATATTATTAGATTTGTGCATACATATACACGTACACATAATAAACGATTTATTGTTTAAAGTTCTAGTAAATGTGTGACATTGTTGATGTGACATTTAAAAAGGAAGAAACACTTCTCTAAATGAACAAGTGGATATATCGATTAATAAAAATTATTAGAATAATTATTATTAATTATTGGGATAAAATTATTAATTATTTCTAATAATTATAATTATTAATTATTGGAAAATTATATTATTGTGTATATTAGCAATAATGTATGTGCATTTTTATTTCCTCTTTAATTTTATTCAACAAATGTGACAAACTTTTTGTACTAACAATTAATTATAAAATATTGATCTAGAATGCATTTCTTGAATCTTACAATTAGAGCAACATATGTATTCAGGTAAACAAATAGAGGGTTTTTATAAGACTTATTATATAAATCTTCCCTATATTTCTTGCATTAATATTGAAAATTCATATGTGTTGAGTTAAAGATCTATACAAGTATAAATATTTGTTTAATTTGCATTAGAACATGAATTTATACATTAGCAGTAGATAATTTTACATCAAGATAAACCTTTTATGTTAATCTTATTATATTATTTGCATTTTCAAATGCAAATTTTGAAAACTTACAGGATCTGCAATATATAGTTAATATATAGTACTAATATAACACTGTCTTTTCTTTTTCTATTTTTCTGTATATAGAGGAAAAATATTTGAGAAGTACTTGACAAGAAAATACTGGAAAATAATATTAAAAATATTTATCGATTTTTAACAATATTGCGAGTTTATATTAAGTATCTTGAAATGATGCATTGATAAATGGTATGTATTATTTTTGCTATCGTTATCACACACATATACACATTACGCATTATTCTAAATATGCAGATAATAATGTCTTTAAAATATATTTATGATATGTTTATGCAGATTCTCCGATGATAATTTCAATACTTTTAATAACAATACTTCAATAATATCAACATTTTTGTACATAATTTTCTTCTTTTAGATCTTATTTTTGAAATTATATTAACAAATGATAATTTTTATCAACAGCCTGTGTGTCAATTTATTACATAATTTAAATCTCATTTCCAATTACATAGTAACAAATGATAATTTTTATCAACAGATCAATATTTTAAGAAAAAAAATTAAAGTGCGATTTTTTTATATTTGTCTTTTTGGCGAATTTTTTAGGGACTTTTTTGTATGAGTTCTTTGCGTCGGATTTGTCTGACAATATATTCTCTTATTACGAGGGATATTATCTCCTGTTACGGGGGATCATTAAATCATTAATAAATTCAGTCGGCTTCTCAATTTTTTTGAATAAAATCGGTATATATATAGTTATCAGAATTATTCGAGATTTCTTGTCACGTGGCTACTATGCGTTCCGTTATTTTCCTTATATCTTTACCGGCATTCTGTTTTCTATATTCTCGCTACCGGGAAAACACGTAGAGTAGAAATACTACACGATATTCGTCCCACGAGTCGAATTCACGCATATTTCACATGTCACCGACCGCTGCGTCTATTCATGCCTCATGCCGGCTTATCGGTGTCGCCTTCTCCTTCCTCCATGCCTCCATCCTCTTCAGCCCCTCCCCTTCTTCCATCACATATTCTACTTCTCTGTCGCTCCCTCTTTTTCTCGCGTCGTTGGTTTCTCTCTTGACGCATTAGAGCATGTTCTCTTGGAACTTTCGGCCTCTTCCCCGACCCCCTGGGACTGACCAAACATCGGTCGGTCCGTCGGTCGTCTTTTTATTGTTAGTTTAAGTCCGACGGCGCGATCGGTCGGTCGGTCCTCGAGGGCAATTAGTCGGGCGCTTTGCGTTTTCTTTTCCTTTTCTCCTTTCGTCTTCCTCTATCTCTCTCTCTCTCTCTTTTTCTTTCTCTCGCTGTAACCGACGCCGTCTCCTCTTCGGAGCCGACGCGATTCCGTTGAAAGTTGCGATTCTCATCCGATATATATATATGATGCACCCGCTGCCACGCTCGAGGATTGTCTGAACCGGGTAATCTCAAATTAGCCATTATTCCATTATTTGCATAATACCACGTGCTCACACCCAGCAGTATGATCCTCTCTTAATTGGAAAATTTAAATTTACATTAATAAATTCAATATCGCCAAGAGTTATCACATTTAAAATAAATGTAATTTAATTGATTAATTATTAAATATATTTAAAAATTATGCTATTTCTAATAATTTTTTTAAGATATTACAAAAAGATAAAACTTTTATATAAAAAAAGGAATTTAAAGATTTTTATACAAAAATTATTATGTACATTGGAATAAATAAGGAGACGATGTTAATTTTTATGAGAAGAGATATCCGGAAAATTTCTGAAAGCAATTCTCTCTGAGAAACATTTTTCGTCTGATGAGGCATCGCGGTTCATGCGGGATCTGCTACTGATGTGTTGTTACTGAAAATGTAATTCAGCTCGACAGTAAAGCAGGAATCTCTGAACTTTAGAACTCGATATCTCTGTTCGAGAATTGGCATCACGCCAAATCGAAACTCGGACTTTTGTATATAAGTGTTTCTTGGACATGTAATTTTGGTCAATGAATCATCAAGCCCATCTACTTTATCTTTGCATATATTCCATGATAAAATCAATAGATATTCGATATTAAGATAATTCGGTGCTTCTTTTTTATCGTAAGATAATAAAAAAAGTTTGTGGAACAGAAATTACTTTGTGTCTCACAGAAAAAAAATTCATATTTTTTAATTATTGTCTCGATGCTCTTTTAAACATAATCCAAATTGTCCAAGATAATTATAATATATATAATATGCCAACTATAAAAGCTTAATTACTAGAAATCTGCAGCATGTGAGAACTTTGTACGGAATGTTTCATAAAGTTTCGTGAGGTCTCCGATTCTAAGAACTTATTCCGCTAATCAAGCGTAATTTTGCTCAGACACAAGGTCAAAAAAATTTTCAGGTGGTCATATACGAATATCTTGATGCACGTCGGCGTTTGTGTTTGATGATTATTTGACCACATAACGTTCGTCTTTTATACCGGCTGATGCAATAGTTCGATAGACATAATAAGTGTTTGGATATATATCTTAGATAGATATAGATATAGATCTTATATATATATATATATCAAAAGTTATCATTATCTCTAGAAACATCTCTATCTGTATTAAACGATAATTTGGCATATTGCCATTTACTTGACATATGTCCTCACGACTCCAATATCAGCTAATGCGGTATTTAATAAATCATACAAAAAAATTATTAAATTATTAAATTATTATTGCTTGCGAAAAATTAATTCTTAGAGAATCTTAAAAGATCAATCTCTTATCTCTTAACTATTTTCATAAGATTTGTTAAATTTTGCTCTCTCTTAATAATATTTTATTACACGTAAAAAATATATTTTCTCGTACAAAATATATACATATATTAAAGTACCACGATCAATTTTTGCAAAAGCTGAATAAATAAGATTGGATAGACTTTTCTTATGTAAAAAACGAAATAAAATAATAATGAACAGTTAATGAGTTCTCCTAGATCTAATATCCTTGCTTTTTTCTGAAAAAATGTTTTTTTCTTTAAGATATTTTACTCCATAAATGATCGCTTTACTCTCTTGTCAAAATACCTCTTGTCTTCTCTTTTATCACATTCAATAAAGCTTAAACATTGACATGTTTTTAAAATATACATATTGATAATGTTAATTTAACATTAATTTAACATTAATTTTCTAATAACTACTCAAATTCTCGAACTTATTTGTAAATGTGCTTTATTACTTATTATTGTTTTTTTGGTTACATTTTTTACTTGCATCTACACTGAGAAAAAAAAGTTGTTAACTTGACTAAATGCGTTCAACTAATTATTATTTCTTTAATTGAAATAAATGCAGTATTTAATAAATCATACAAAAAAATTATTAAATTATTAAATTATTATTGCTTGCGAAAAATTAATTCTTAGAGAATCTTAAAAGATCAATCTCTTATCTCTTAACTATTTTCATAAGATTTGTTAAATTTTGCTCTCTCTTAATAATATTTTATTACACGTAAAAAATATATTTTCTCGTACAAAATATATACATATATTAAAGTACCACGATCAATTTTTGCAAAAGCTGAATAAATAAGATTGGATAGACTTTTCTTATGTAAAAAACGAAATAAAATAATAATGAACAGTTAATGAGTTCTCCTAGATCTAATATCCTTGCTTTTTTCTGAAAAAATGTTTTTTTCTTTAAGATATTTTACTCCATAAATGATCGCTTTACTCTCTTGTCAAAATACCTCTTGTCTTCTCTTTTATCACATTCAATAAAGCTTAAACATTGACATGTTTTTAAAATATACATATTGATAATGTTAATTTAACATTAATTTAACATTAATTTTCTAATAACTACTCAAATTCTCGAACTTATTTGTAAATGTGCTTTATTATTTATTATTGTTTTTTTGGTTACATTTTTTACTTGCATCTACGGAAACAAAAAAGAAAAAGATTATTTGTTTGTGTTTCAGCTTTAATTTTTTTTAAGTCCATAAAAGAAAGCGTCATGAAAAAGTGTTTGATGATTGATACAATATATCGAAAGATTATTAAATTGTTGAAGACTATTAAACGTTTAACTCGCGCGTATAGAGATATAAAGTCGTGACAAGCTGAAAATAATGTGTTGTGAATCATAAGTAATATACAAAATATTACGCGAAACTTTGAAATCGTGATTCTAAGAACTAGAACAAGTATGATTTTTGTTTAAACATTTAGTTTAAAATTTGATAATTTTTATTCAACAGATTTTATCATCTCACAATGTTATCAGAAATATATTTGAAAAATACGAGAAATTTTGAACGTCTAACAAAATTTCCATAGTATAATCTCATCAGCAAAAAATCATGAATAATGTTTGTTATGCCACTTTAAATGCAGACGGTGCACTATTGCGGTTAAAATGTGGTAATGAAGTTAAAATACTTGAGAAGAATTATTCCGGAAAACATTTACGCGTATATATCAGCAATAATAAGATAAAATTCATACTTAATTCATATGATGATTAATTTGTGTGTGTACTAAATAAATTTATGTCTTCCATCTGTGTTATCTTTAAAAATTAACTTGTTTATACATAATAATATTAAACATTATTTAAAACAGTAATTTAATTCATAATTTTGATAAATAAATAAACAATTAAAAATGTTAATTGATAATTATATTATATTATTTATTAACTGAACATTTAATTATAATATAAGAGACTAATATTAACTCGATAATTATTTGATTGTTCAAGCAATTGATATTTGTTAATATATATTTATGTCAATATAATTTTTTTTTCCATTATTAGTCCAACCATAAAATATGTTCATATAAAAAATAGGTATATTAACATTTATTGCGATAAGAATAAATCATTTGACTTAGCTTTTTTATCGTTTTATATGCTGTAAATTATATTTTGCTTTTGAATTACGTAGCTGCTGAAATAATTGAATCGAGAAGTAGCCGCGCCTGGATTTTTTTTCAGGGTGAAAAACTTGTTTATAAATTTTTTTTTTGATATCATATGTTGATGTAGCCGACCATAACATAACCGTTTCAAGGTTAAGAAGAAAAAATTACTTAAAGCAGAATTAATATGACTTTACATCAATAATTTTATTTTAGTTTACATATATTATACAATATATTCAATTATATAAATATATTGCAATAACAGCACATATGTTCGAGAGATGTCCAGAGGACATCCAGAGGATATTCTGAATGTCTCGAACATGTGTCTTATTAAGATAACGTTGTTATAAATCTTATTAACTGTTGTCTGTTTCTGTTTTTGTAGTCGAATTTCAGTAAACAATAGGCATATTATTATTGTCAAAATCAAGCAAGAATATCTGCAAACGAAACACTAACAGAATTTGCACTTGATGATAAACGATGCAAAAAAAAAAAATAACTTTTTAGTTTTATCTTATATTATTGGTTTGATTCTTTCATTGTTTCATTACAAATTATCGGTTAAACCTATTTGATTGGTCCAGTCCCGTTATTAAGATCCGATAATTTAAGATAGAATCTAACAATAAGATACTTTCAGTCTAACTTGATGCGAAACACTACCGGTAGTCTCTTGATACCGATGTGCTAGATCGGCAGAATATAGTTAGTTAAATGGTTAAGCTGCAGTCTTTGGAGCTGCATTCTCCAGCTTCAAAGACTCATCAAGCCTTACATTGCAGACTTTTGTGTAACGGCATGGTGGGACAAATATAGCATTGCATCTTTCATATGCGACGTACTTATATTCACGCTGGATAGAAAAGTTGGAATATTTTTTTCTCTTTTCAATGAAATTACTTTTACATTTTGGCATATTCTAAAAAGTGCTGCAACTTTTTTTCACCGTGAAATATAATAATATAATTTTCAAAACTATTGACTCGCCACCCTCATAGCACCGAACATTGCAGTAAGATTATAGGGAGATTACAAACTTACACATTTTAAGGAACATGTTACTGGTACATACCACTAACCTTACAATAAAACCTTACTTTATAATATTGTTGGAAGATTAATGGAATCTTATTTCAATATTTTAGCAACTTTACTCGCAATAATTTTACTTTTCGCATATGCTGAAAATATTACAAAACTATAAAATATTGTTTAATATTAATAATCAAATATTTGATGTGCACGTTTTCATATATCCAAAATTATTATTTATTTAATATTTCATGAGAAATGATTGCGCGAAACATTCCAAAAACTTTACAAAAAAATAGTATTCAGCCGTCAGTTCGTTTGTTCATCGCTATGCGACGCGCTATGCATCCATCTCGTATTTGATTTTTAGTCATGAGAAGTATATAAAGAGTAACTGGCAAAAGATTAAAAATATAATTATTTCTATCAGTTCAATTACTGATACGATTCCAACATAGGGAATTCAGATATTGGACTGATTGTTTCTTACAAGTGGAGCGCATTTTTTCTTACCGCGCGTGGCTCTGATTGCCTTTATCTTGAATTTTAATTTTAGTTTAAAGAATTAAGCTTTAATCTATAAGACACATATATAAATTATTCTCAATGAAACAATAATTTCAATGAGTTCAAAGAATTCTGAGATGTGTGTATTAATTGTATAAATATTTTAAAATCGAAAGTATATAAGAAGAGATGAGACAAAATCTTGTATCAATTCCATTTTTTTGACATTATACCTTTTACGTAGTACGTCGATTTTAGTCGCTTACGTAAGCGATATATTACGTGAGCGATATAATATGCGCTATATAATATAATCGCTTAGCGACTAAAATCGACGTATTACGTAAACGGTATAATGTCAAAAAAATGGAATGGTAATCTGATGATCTCTTTTAGCAATATCCTTATCGAAAGTTCACAGATATCTTCTGAAGGAGCGGGGTCAATAATCCACGAAGATAATTATCGATAACAATGACGATCGATGAGGAAGGAGCCGGTCACGCCGGCGACATCGGTGACTTTGCTCCAGAAAATAATGCCGCCACATCAATTCGAACGATCGACCATACAGCTGCGAATGATCCGATCGGCCCAGCGAGCCATGTGCAGCCTCGTCAGACCGACCCCGACAGTTCCGATTGGAGTGAGGGCAACCCCCTTCTGGCCGAAAGCGCGATATTGACGATCGATGCGTCGATCGGGAAGTCAAAAAGAGTTCACAAAGCGGAGGAAGACACGATGAATGTCGGGAACGCGACACGAAAAGAGCCAGACGAGAATCTTGTGAACGAGCCGACGAGGATGATTGTTGGACCGCCCGATGGCGGCCTGAGGGCCTGGATGATTATGGTCAGCAGCTTCACGATCAACGGCGTGCTCTTTAGCATCATCAACACGTATTCCCTCATTTATCCGGAGCTGCAGAAACGACTCATGGAGGCCGGTGAGACTGAAGTATCTTACAAAGCAGGTACGATACTCAGTCAAGCAAATACGATACTCAGAAAAAACAAAACATAATATAAATATATTAAAATATTTATATGATAATATATTCTGCTTTTGTACAAAAAGTTTTTATTATTTTATCGAAAAATTATTTAAAAAAAAAATTATTTTTCAAACTGTAAAAAAGTTATATAAATACATACATATACATTGTTTACTTTGCTTTGTTATATTTGTAATCGTGTACAGATTATGCTCAATTATTTATCGATCTCAAATCAAAGTATTTATTCAATGATAAGGCACGCGAATATGCTTAGCTCGAATAAAGATCCGACTTGCCGTGATTTGATTTGGTTTAATAACAAATTCGAACAATTATGAGAGTATTTATTACATTCCTTAACAACACATGTCCAAAAAGTCCAGAAGACATATGTAATGTATATTGTTAGAATTATGTCATATCTAGTATGTGTTATAATTATGATGTGACATTTCGATTATTTCGAGCATTTATAATAAAAGTTAATATAAATAAAGCTCAAATGATATAAATAAAATAATATAAAAAAATGTCAATTAGAGTTGGTTGATTTTTTGGTGTTAATTTGGGTATTGATTCTTGAATTACGTAATTGATAATATGTTGGATAAAAATTTTTTGCTACTCGATAACAATCAGATTGGCATATTTTAAGAATGTAACAGCTTTTTCAAATCGCAACAGCTATGCAGAATTTCATAATAAAAAAACTGCATGCAGTTTCCTGCATGGATGAATAATGTACGTGTTTCAAAATTTAAAAAATAATTCTAATCA